GGTCTGCTGCCCACAGCCTGTGCGCACAAAGACGGGGCCGGCTCGCCCCCGAGATCGGGAGCCGGCCCGCACACTAGTAAGGGTTCTATTGTATTTGTTTTAACCCAGTTTTCAGTTATTTTAATTCCTATGATTTCCTGAATATTTCAGCCTTGTGTTCTTACTTTTCAGGGAGTTCTGGGTGACAATGGCATAGTACAAACGTTTCTAGAAATCGGAAAACAAACCTGTGGAAGAGCTTAAATGTTGTTCAGACCAATAAAGTATAAGTATTTTATTCTGTTCAGATCAAGTAATTAAACACTGAAAAGTTCATCTTACTGATATATTGGGAAGGTCAATAATTGAGTTTATTCAATTGTTTATCTAATTTCCTGTAATGTTGTCCCCAGAACAGTAATGATGTTCAATATGCAGAATTCTCATCATTGAACCCATATATTCTTTTCTACTTATTTACTAAGGACATCTCAAAATGTCAGGAAATCCACTTCTGCTGCAATAACTGTAATGACAGCAAGAACATAAAGTCAGGCTTCAAGCTCTAAATGCTAAGGACAGGGCTTCACTTACCCCTAACTGCAGAGTGAAAATATAGAATTAGAGAGGTGATTGTTCCTATGCATTTACAATCCTGACACACAGCTCCATTTAGCACAAAGCACCTTTTAAACCCTTAGAAAATGTTACAGTTAAGAGAGCCCAAACCCAGGGTGTGCTACAATGTGCTTTCCTCAAATTGGAGGCAGTGGATTTAGAACAGGGATGATATAAAAGTAATAGTTTGAGATGGGAAAGAAGGGAGTCACTGAAGAGAGATTTGAAGGGGGCAGAACTGGGTATTGCTGTTGAAAAAAGGAAGACAATCTGGTTCAGATGCAGGAAATGGTATGACAGAATGCTTCAAGCCCAGAGTTGGATAAAAAGTATGAAGGCAGCAGTGAAGCGAGTGAAAAAAGCACAGATGTGGGTAAGAACCAGATCATATCTTGAAGGTGAGGATAAGGAGGTCAAACCTAATGCAGGAAGAGGAAGCCAATGACAAGGTTCAAGAAGTGAAGAGATGACTTAGTAAAAGCATTTTTAAAGACTGAGAAAAGCATGGTGCATACAGTAGTTG